GTTTCTTGTTTCAGCTAAAATAAAAAAATCCAAAGCTTAACCCCCCCCCCCCCGGCCGCGGCCCGCACTCACGGTTGGCGATGTCCCCCCCCATCTTGTACTTGGTCACCACCAGGTCCTCGGCGATGGTGAGCTCGCTCGCCTCCTCCTCGCCCGACATGGTGGGAGCCCCGCCGAGCCCCCCGGAGCCCCCCAAAATTAGGGCGCTGAGGAGCCCCCGGGACCGCGAGCCGGAGGCGCGAGCAGGGCAGAGCGCGGGCTCCACGCGGGGCACGCTGGGAACGCGAGTCCTCCCCGCCCCTCTGGACTACAACTCCCGGCGGCCCCCGCGAGCAGAGGCCCCGGACGCGTGTGTGGTGCCGCCGCCCCTCCCCACCCGGCGGACTGCAACTCCCGGCGTGCAGCGCGGCTCTCGCGAGAGGAGGCGGGGTGTGAGAGCGGAAGCGGCGCGCGGGGGGTGATGGAGGATGTAGGCGGAAGGAGGGAACGGGAGAGGAAGAGGCGGGTGCGGAATTTCGGCACCGGGACCGCACCGGGACCGTGGATTTGCCCCTCGCTCGGCTGTCGGGGTCCCCGGATCCTACCCTGCAGCACCGCTCCCGCTCACGACCCCCAGACCCCCTACCCAGCACCGGCACCGCGGCCACACCGGGGCCGGTCCCCCCTGTCCGGTGCGCCCCCCGCGTGACCCCCCGGTACCGGCACCGGCACCGGGCACTGCCCCGGGGGCGTCGCTGTCCCCGGATCTCGGTCCCGGTCCCCGCTCCGATCCCCGACCCCCCCAAGTCTCACCCCGGACGTTTTTACTGAAATTCCTTTATTTTCACTCATCCCGCGCGACCCCCGGGGCCGGGGGCGATCCCTGAGCGGGGGCTCCCCCCCCCACCCCCCAAAACCAGGGCAACCCCCGAAAAACCGGGGAGAAACCCCCCAAAAAACCGGGGAGAAACCCCCCCAAAAAACCGGGGAGAAAGCCCCCAAAAACCGGGGAGAAACCCCCCGATAAACCGGGGAGAAACCCCCCCAAAAAAACGGATCCCGGGGGAGGGGGGACACCCCAAACCTTCACTCAATGGGGAACCCTGAAAATGAGTCTGGGGTCCTTCAGAAATCCCCTCTGGTGCCCCCCAGGCAGCCCGGGGGGGGGCTCAAGGGACCCCAAAACCCCTCGGGGACCCCAAAACCCCCCAGGGACCCCAAACCCCCCCCCAGGGATTTGGGGAGCACCTTCAGTGATTGCCGGGGGGGGGGAGGAGGAAGGAAATAATGGGAGGGGTCTCCCGGGGGTCTCCCTCCCCACCTGGGCGTGCTCAACCTCACCCCCCTCCCCAAAAAAAAAAAAAGGTTCAGACCGCTGAGACCCCCCAAAAAAAACCCCCCACAGCAGCCCCTCCTTTGCAGGGGGGGGGTGAATCCTTCATCTTCAGCGCGACCCCCGCCCAAATTGGGGAGGTCCGGGGGGGGTCCCCGGGGGTCCTTTAAGTCCTCTGGGGGTCGCTCTTGGCGAAGAGGCGGCTGTGCCAATAGTCGGGGTTGTCGAAGGCGCAGTCCGAGGCTTCCAGGCTCCGCAGGGGCTTCATGGGGGTCGCGGGGGGGATTTGGGGGTGGGCTCGGGGCGGCCGCAGCACCGCCTCCATCTCCTCGTAGCCCTGCTCCTCCTCGGGGGTCGCGGGGGGGTCTCCCATGGGGGTGTAGCCGCGGTGCCCCCCCAGGAGCGAGCGGCTGAGGCGCGGCTGTTTGTTCATGTACTCGTAATCTTCGTCCTCACCGTCGTCTTCCTCGCCCCCGCCGCGGTTTTGGGGTTGGGGGCGTCCCCCCGGCTCGGGGGTCACCTCCATGTATTCGTAGCCCAGTTCTTCCAGCGAGGCCGGGCGGGGTTGGGGGGAGACCCCCGGGGGTCGCCGGTTCATGTATTCGTACTCTTCCTCCTCCTCTTCCTCCTCCGCGGTCGGTACCGAGCCCCCCGTGGGGTCTGAGGGGGGCACACACCGGTCAGGGACCACCCCCCCCCCCCCCCCCCCCCCTTCTCCTCCTGACTGCGGTGCCAGCACATGATATCAAATTTCTAGCTTGCACAGTCTCTTTATCATTCTCTCCCGGGGGGGGCTGCCCAAACCACCCCAGGTCTCCTCCACCCCTGCATCTTGCAGGGCTCCGCGGCAGGACCCCCGGGGTGGGGGGCGTCGCCCGGGGTCAGCCCGGCCCCACATCATAAAGGAGCGTCCCCAAAATGAGCCCAAAAAGACAAAAAATGGGGGTGGGGCCCCCAAAAAATGGGGATGGACCCCCCCCGAGGCACAGGAACCCCCCGAAAATGGGGATGGACTCCCCCGGAGACACAGGAACACCCCAAAATTAGGGGATGGACCCCCCCCCAGAGACACAGGAACCCCCCAAAAATGGGGATGGACCCCCCAGGAGGCACAGGAACCCCCAAAATTAGGGGATGGACCCCCCCGAGGCACAGGAACTCCCCAAAAATGGGGATGGACCCCCCCGAGACACAGGAACCCCCCAAAATTAGGGGATGGACCCCGGGACCCCAAACCCTCCCCGGGACCCCAAATCTGACCCGGGACCCCAAATCCACCACGGGACCTCCCCACCATGGGGACACCGACAGTAAGAGGGGGGACCCCAACAGGACCCCAACCCAAAGCCCCCCAAAGCCCCCCAAAGCCCCCCAGCCCCGCGTACCTGCCGCGCGCAGCCCAGGCCGGGCTGGTTCATGGGGATGTACCCGGCGGGGGCGCTCAGCAGGCTGGGGCTCTGCGGGGACACGGGGGGACACGGGGGTGGCACTGAGGGGACACCGAGGGGACACCGCGGGGACCCCCCTCTGCTGCGGGAATGGGGCAGGGGGGCTCCAGAGCCCACCCACCCCCATGGGGGGCTTGGGGCTGGGAGAGCTTGGGGGACATCCCCGGGACCCCGAGTGACATCAGGGGACACTGTGGGACATCCCGGGACCCTGTGTCACCTTCTAGGACCCTGTGTCACACCAGGACCCATCCCCAGAGCCCCCCAATCCCCCCCAATCCCCCCGGTGGGCTCACCTTGATGACCAGGTAGCGCGGCGGGTCGCGGGCCATGCGCGTGAACTCGTTGGCCAGCTCCTTGAAGGTGGGGCGGATGTTCTCATCGATCATCCAGCCTGGGGACAGCGACACCGTCAGGGGGGACACGGGGGAGGGGACACGGGTGGGGACACGGCCAGGACACAGCCTGGGGACGGGGACAGGACATGGCTCTGGGGATGGGGACAGCAGCAGGACCCGCCCCACCCTGGGGACAGCTCTGGTGACAACTCTGGGGACAGCTCTGGAGACCCTGCCCAGCCCTGGGGACAGCCCTGTGACAGCCTAGTGGCAGCTCTGGTGACACCCTGGTGATAGCCTGGGGACAACCCTGGGGACAACCCTGGTGGCAGCTGTGGTGGCAGCCTGGTGACACGTTGGTGGCAGCCCTGGGGACAGCTCTGGGGACTCCCTGGTGACAACTCTGGGGACAGCAGCAGGACCCTGCCCAGCCCTGGGGACAGCCCTGGTGACACCCTGGGGACAGCCCTGTGACAGCTCTGAGGACAGCCCTGTGACACCCTGGTGATAGCCTGGCGACAGCCCTGGGGACAGCTCTGGGGACAGCAGCTGGACCCTGCCAGCCCTGGTGACAGCCTGGTGGCAGCCCTGGTGACACCGTGGTGACACCCTGGGGACAGCCCTGGTGCCACTCTGGTGGTAGCTCTGGTGACACCCTGGCGACAGCCTTGAGGACAGCCTTGGGGACACCCTGGGGACAGCAGCTGGACCCTGCCAGCCCTGGTGACAGCCCTGTGGCAACCCCAGTGGCATGCTGGTGGCACTGTGGTGATACCCTGGTGACATCCCTGGGGACAGCCTTGGGGACACCCTGGTGGCACGCTGGTGATACCCTGGTGACATCCCTGGGGACAGCCTTGGGGACACCCTGGTGGCAGCCGTGTGGCAACCCTGGTGGCACCCTGATGACCCTCTGGTGACAGCCCTGGTGGCACCCTGGTGACACCCTGGTGGCACGCTGGTGATACCCTGGTGACATCCCTGGGGACAGCCCTGTGACAGCCCTGGTGGCACGCTGGTGGCACCCTGTGGCATCCTGGTGGCACGCTGGTGGCACTGTGGTGACACCCTGGGGACAGCCCTGGGGACAGCCCTGTGACAGCCCTGGTGGCACGCTGGTGGCACCCTGGTGGCACTGTGGTGACACCCTGGGGACAGCCCTGGGGACAGCCCTGTGACAGCCCTGGTGGCACGCTGGTGGCACGCTGGTGGCACCATGGTGACACCCTTGTGACAGCCCTGTGACAGCCCTGGTGGCACCCTGGTGGCACCCTGGTGGCACGCTGGTGGCACGCCGGTGGCACGCCGGTGGCAGCGTCCCGCGGCGCTCACATTTCACCATCACCATGTAGACGTCGATGGTGCAGATCTGCGGCTGCGAGAGCCGCTCGCCCTTCTCCAGCAGGTCCGGCACCTCGGCCAGGCGGATCCCGGCGTACGGCTCGGCCCCGAACGTCATCATCTCCCACAGCGTCACCCCTGGGGACACCGGGGACACCCGTGAGCCACGGGGACACCGGGGACAGCGGGGACAGAGGGGACACCGGGGACAGCGGGGACAGCAGGGACAGCAGGGACACAGGGGACAGCCCGGCCAGGTGGATCCCGGTTCACGGCTCGGCCCCGAACGTCATCATCTCCCACAGCGTCACCCCTGGGGACACCGGGGACACCCGTGAGCCACGGGGACACCGGGGCTGACAGCAGGGGACACCGGGGGACACCGGGGAACAGTGGGGACAGCAGGGACATTGGGGGACACTGGCGGATACTGGAGGAGAGCAGGGGACACTGGAGGACAACGGGGGACAGTGGGGACAGCAGAGGACAGCAGGGACACTGGGGGCACTGGGGACAGCGGGGACACCCGTGAGCCATGGGGACGGTGGGGACAGCAGGGACAGCGGTGACACTGGTGACACTAGGGACAGCGGGGACAGCGGTGACACTGGTGCACTGGTGACACTGGTGACACTGGGGACAGCGGTGACACTGGGGACAGCGGTGACACTGGTGACACTGGTGACACTGGGGACACTGGGGACACTGGGGACAGCGGTGGCTCACCGTAGCTCCAGACGTCGCTCTGGTGCGTGTACTTGCCGAAGTGGATGCTCTCCAGGGCCATCCACTTGATGGGCGTCTGCGGGAAAGGGGGTGACACCGATGGCATTGGGGTGACACCGATGGCATTGGGGTGACATCAATGGCATTGGGGTGACACCGATGGCATTGGGGTGACAGGATGGCATCGGGGTGACACCGATGGCATTGGGGTGACATCAATGGCATTGGGGTGACAGGATGGGATTGGGGTGACACGGATGGCATCGGGGTGACAGGATGGCATTGGGGTGACAGGATGGCATCGTGGTGACACCAATGGCATCAGGGTGACAGGATGGCATTGGGGTGACACTGATGGCATCAGGGTGACACCAATGGCATTGGGGTGACAGGATGGCATCGGGGTGACAGGATGGCATTGGGGCGTCACTGATGGCATTGGGGTGACACCGATGGCATCGGGGTGACAGGATGGCATTGGGGGGACCCGGATGGCATTGGGGTGACATTGATGGCATTGGGGTGACAGGAATGCATTGGGTGACACCGATGGCATTGTGGTGACAGGATGGCATCGGGGTGACAGGATGGCATCGGGGTGACATCGATGGCATTGGGGTGACACTGATGGCATTAGGGTGACAGGATGGCATTGGGGTGTCATTGATGGCATTGGGGTGACACCGATGGCATCGGGGTGACAGGATGGCATCGGGGTGACAGCGATGGCATTGGGGTGACATCCATGGCATTGGGGGTGACACTGATGGCATTGGGGTGACATCGATGGCATTGGGGTGACAGGATGGCATTGGGGTGACACTGATGGCATTGGGGTGACATCGATGGCATTGGGGTGACAGGATGGCATTGGGGTGACACTGATGGCATTGGGGTGACATCGATGGCATTGGGGTGACAGGATGGCATTGGGGTTACACTGATGGCATTGGGGTGACACCGATGGCATTCGGGTTACTGGATGGCATTGGGGTGACATCGATGGCATTGGGGTGACATCGATGGCATTGGGGTGACAGGATGGCATTGGGGGTGTCTCAGAGTGGGTGGCACTGATGCCCTTTGGGGGTGACACCAATCCCATTTGGTGTGACACCAATGCCATTTGAGGTGACACCGATGACATTTGGGGTGTCCCAGAGTGGGTGACACTGGTGCCATTGGATGTCACCATTGGGTGTGCCACCAATGCCATTGGGGTGCCATTCGAGGTGACACCGATGCCCTTTGGGGTGACACCGATGTCATTGGATGTCACACCAATACCATTTGGGGGTCCCACCGATGCCCCTTGGGGGTCCCACCGATGCCATTGGGGGGTCCCACCGGTGCCATTGGGGGATGACACCGATGCCCTTTGGGGTGACACCGGTGCCATTGGATGTCACACCAGTACCATTTGGGGGGTCCCACCGATGTCCCTTGGGGGTCCCACCAGTGTCCCTTGGGGGTCCCACTGATGCCATTGGGGGTCCCACCGGTGCCCCTTGAGGGTCCCACCGGTGCCGTTGGGGGATGACACCGATGCCCCTCGGGGGTCCCACCGGTGCCATTGGGGGGTCCCACTGATGTCCCTTGGGGGTCCCACCGGTGCCATTGGGGGGTGACACCGATGCCCCTCGGGGGTCCCACCGGTGCCGTTGGGGGTCCCAGCCCGGCGCCCCCCGCCCACCTTGACCTCGTTGTAGAAGTATTTCTTGTCGTCGGGGTAGAGCAGGTCGGCGATGCCGAAATCGGCCACCTGCGCCTGGCTGGGCGACTTGAGCAGCACGTTCCGGGCAGCCAGGTTCCTGTGCACCATGCGGTGCTCCTCCAGGTAGTACATCCCCTGAAAACGGGAATAAAACTTAATTTTTAATATAATTTTTATTTATTCATTCCATGTAGTATTAGTTATATATTGTGTAATATTTAATATAGCAGCCAGGTTCCTGTGCACCATGCGGTGCTCCTCCAGGTAGTACATCCCCTGAAAACGGGAATAAAGATGATTATTTAATATAATTTTTATTTATTGATTGATTGATTTAATGTATTTATTATATCTATGTAATATTGGTTATATATTGTGTAATATCTAATATAACAGCCAGGTTCCTGTGCACCATGCGGTGCTCCTCCAGGTAGTACATCCCCTGAAAACGGGAATAAAACTTAATTTTTAATATCATTTTTATTTATTCATTGATTTATTTAATGTATTTATTATATCTATGTCATATTGGTTATATATAGTGTAATATTTAATATAGCAGCCAGGTTCCTGTGCACCATGCGGTGCTCCTCCAGGTAGTACATCCCCTGAAAACGGGAATAAAACTTAATTTTTAATATCATTTTTATTTATTGATTGATTTATTTAATGTATTTATTATATCTATGTAATATTGGTGATATATTGTGTAATATCTAATACAACAGCCAGGTTCCTGTGCACCATGCGGTGCTCCTCCAGGTAGTACATCCCCTGAAAACGGGAATAAAACTTAATTTTTAATATCATTTTTATTTATTCATTGATTTATTTAATGTATTTATTATATCTATGTCATATTGGTTATATATAGTGTAATATTTAATATAGCAGCCAGGTTCCTGTGCACCATGCGGTGCTCCTCCAGGTAGTACATCCCCTGAAAACGGGAATAAAACTTAATTTTTAATATCATTTTTATTTATTCATTGATTTATTTAATGTATTTATTATATCTATGTCATATTGGTTATATATAGTGTAATATTTAATATAGCAGCCAGGTTCCTGTGCACCATGCGGTGCTCCTCCAGGTAGTACATCCCCTGAAAACGGGAATAAA